GATGAGCAGGGAGCTGTTCCCAAATGCTGTGCTGGACACGTGCCAGGAGCAGGGACAGTCCCTGGTGCTGGAGGGTGGCACCAGTGGTGGGTGACTGGTGCTGTTTCTGCCTGTCTGTGATCTGTGGGTCCTGCTCAGTGCTCTGGGAGCCCTGCAATTACACTGCTGAGGTTTCTGTGGCAGAGCAGTCCTCGGGTGCTGCCTCTGTTCAGCTGGGATTGCAGTTTGATGTAAACACCGATGCCCTGATGGCCAAGTGCCAGCTGGGTCCCTCTGGGCTGCGAGTCCCTCATGAGCCCTGCTTTGATCCCCTGCAGGAGTTGCAGTCTATACTGGAATGGAAACAAAAATGGCTCTCAACTACCAAGGGAAATCTCAGAAACGGTCTGCAGTAGAAAAGTGAGTATTTATGTTCAGRAAAAAAATCGCTAAAACCTGTTGGATTTGGGTTTTTTTTTTTAATGGATGATTTGTACAGAAATAATCCCTTAATCTGCTGCCTTTTGTTTCAGATGCTCTCTGATTGCATAGAAAAATCTGGGTGTTTGATAAAGCATATCTTGCAAGAAGCAGCTTCATTTAGTAGCTTTTTTTTATTTAAAAGCAAAATAATGTTAAAATATATGAACCTGACACTGAATAACAGCAGTGTCAAAAGCACTTGTTCTGTAATTCCCTTCTTAAAAGTAAGGAAGTTTTGTTCCTGCCTATTTCTGTGATTTTCTGTACAAAAATAGCTGAAAGGATTTAAAAAAGAACCCTGTTTTTCAGATCTATCAACGCTTTCTTGATAGTGTATTTGTGCATCCTGTTGGGCAAGGCCACTGTGTGCACGACTCTGAAATACGTCTGGCAGAGTAATCCATTTAATGATGAGCCTTGGTACAACGAAAAGACTAAAAAAGAGAGAGAGACGTTCAAGGTAAGTGGATTTGTGTTCCAGCACCTTCTCCAGCTTTACTTCTTCTGGCTGTTTTATTTAATCTGCTAGTGCCTGCTGCCAGTTCTGTTTGCTCACAGAAAGTGGTGTTGTTTCCTTCGGTCTCTCCTGCTGTTCGTGTTTCTTTTGTGCCTCTCATGTTTGTGTGCAGTGATATTTGTGTGGAGCAGGGCAARGCATAAATAAATACTGTGTAATATAGAAATGCAGCTTATTTGACCTGGGTCCTTATCTGAACTCGAGCTATCTTTCAGCTTTGARTAGGTAAACTTAAATTGAGGCCATGTCAAGCAGTTTGTTCCATTGCCAGGACGTGGGCAGTGAAGCCTGAGAGAGGGAGTGTGAGAGTRYAGAGATCTTTATTTCAKGGGTTATTGAGGGGGWYTTACAGGGGTGTCACTGCATCTCCWGTGCCCTTGCCATAGCCTGACTGGTCTCAAGCCACTGCTCCTTTTTTCTGGTGGCCTGGGATCAGGAGGAGCCTGTAGCAGAATATTCTTAAGAGGGATATGCCTGGGTAAAACATTGTTTTGGTCAGTATGAAACAGTGAGATGTAATGTGTATGATAACCTGGTACACCTGCAGAAGACAGTAAGATTTTTCTGTGCTAGAGGAAAATGGGATTGAGCCTTTTAGCTGTTCATTTTCATGCTGTTTTTTCCCATTTAACCCTGTGGTCCTGCCAGCCACAGGCCACATTGTCTCCTCTCTCCTTTGCAGGTCTTGCGGATGTTCACGGATTTCCTGTCCTTCATGGTCCTCTTCAATTTCATTATCCCTGTCTCCATGTACGTTACAGTAGAGATGCAGAAGTTCTTGGGCTCYTTCTTCATCTCTTGGGACAAAGAGATGTACGATGAGGAAATTCAGGAGGGAGCGTTGGTGAACACGTCGGACCTGAACGAGGAGCTGGGGCAGGTCAGAGCTGCTGTGTTTGCATCTGTCTGGCTGCAAATGGGGGTGGAAATGTCCTCCCTCCTTCTTGTGGCAATCCCTGGCAGTCCCCTCAGGCCCCAATTCTCCCKCTTTGGTGGCACTTTCCATTCAGTGTGATTGCCTGGGCTCTGTGGAACAGATAAGGTTATAAATAGTGCATGAAAGAGCAGGAATTGGGTCACGCCAATTGTTTCCATATTGGGCAATATCAGGCGCAGCGCTCTGCGTGTCAGGGTGCTTTGCTTTCAATGCTTCAATTAAAAATTAAAAATCCTCTGTCTCTTTGAGGATTAATGARCATGTCTGCCCAGTCATCTCCCTGGGCGTGCAGAGCACGTGCAGCTCTGCTGCCTCTGCCTTGCTGGGGCAAAACCTGCACAGCTCAGGCTTCCCTTTCTGATCTGCACCACCAGACACCAGTGCAGGGGATGTGTAGTGCCTCCTGCTCTTGACTTTGCTTTAAAAACAATAATAAAAATATGTTTGGAATAGCAATTAGCTAATTGGAAAACAGATGAGAAGCCCCCAGAAGAGGCAGCAGGCCTGCAGCAGCAGTTCTATAAGCACTGGGGCTATAGCAAAGGACCCAAGGAAGAGGATGAGGGGAAAGCAAAGAACCTGGAGACTGATTTTATGTCTTCAGAAGGTGCCTCCTGCTGTCTATGCCATAGTCTGAAAGGCAAAGGAGCTGCTCTGAGGAGTGGAACAGAACTGCTCAGTGATGTAGTGGGGCACTGGCCTCATTTTGCAGGGTCAGATTAGGGTAGCAGCATTGGCACAAATGTACTAAAACACCCCAGGCTCTGTTTTTGCGGGCTCCTTGCCCCACCCTGGGGCTGGGGTGCAGCAAGGCAGCTCCTGGTGCTTGCAGGTGGAGTACGTGTTCACAGACAAAACAGGCACACTGACAGAGAACAGCATGGAGTTCATCGAGTGCTGCATCGATGGGCACAAGTACAAGGACTGCATCTCGGAGGTGGATGGCTTCTCCCAGGCTGATGGACCCCTGAAATACTATGGCAAAGCTGAGAAGGTA